TTCTTATATTTTATTATTTATTTTAGATAAATTACTCTTTTGTAATCTATTTTTTTATGAAACAACTTTTTACCATCTTCTTGGTTATTTTGGATGGGACTTATTTATAATTTAGCCAAGAGATATTAAATTAAGTATTTTTTTATAATTTTAAAAATAAAAAATTAATTTTTAAAATTAAATAAAAATAATATTTTTTATATACAAATATATATATATATATCGACGAGTTGATCAAGTAAATATGTATTTATCTCAAATGTAATATTAAATTTGTTATGGATTAGATCTTATATCTAATGTAATTCATAACTAGCTATTATTAACTAGCTGTTACTATAAATTAATTAACAACTTAGTTTATTTTGTATTTAAAAATTCTTTTAAAACTAATCATTATAATTAATTTAACCTTGACTTTTAAGCTATTTAAATAACTATGGAAAAATTACAATAATTCTAAAAGATTAATTATAAATTTATTTTTCAGTTAAATATAATTTATTTGTTTAAACTATTTATTCTTATAATTTTTGATAATTAATAATTTTACTTATTCACACTATTAGATCTTCTTTTCTTCACTTTTAGAATAATTCATTAAAGTAATGGGATCCTAAATATTTACTGAGAATTTATAAATTTATTTCTATAGAATTTGGTTTCTTAAAAAAGTGTCACAAAAATAAAAATAAAATAAAAAATTCCATCTATCATTTGCAAAGAAGAAACTACACACTATAACTAAAGTCTCTGGGATTTGTCTCTTAGTGTTAATCTTAGATATCAAATTGCTTTCTATATTTTTATGTATTAAGACAATTAATTAATATATAATTTGAGTGATATTTTAAAATTTACTCATAAATGAATAGATGCATGAAGGAATATATTGTTCCTTAAATAGATACACACATACATACACCTTTATCATCAATATGAAAGAAATATTCTAATTCTATTTAAGTTATAATTCCATAGTATCAATATATTCTAAATATAATATAGTATAAAATTAAATCCTATTCTAAGAACAAACCTTAATCTTTAGTATTACAACTTTTTGAATTATATATTTTTTAATCATAATATAAACACAATTCAAAATGGTTTTTGGATAAATCCTAACTTAAACCATATTTTTTTAATATTAAATGACTATAAGTTTAATCCTTAGGTTTTAAGTAAGTTTTAAATCCATGAAATATAACTGTAAATGTTAAAGAAGGGCTCTAGATTCTAAACTTTTATTCTAAAAGTTTTCATACCAATCCTAATTCTAATCTAAAATTCAAAATTTAAAATAAAATCATAAACTTAACCTTAATTAAACCTTGATCATAAATAAAATTTTAATCCTAATCTTAAAATTTTAGATGATACATCTAAATTCTTTGAATAAATAATTTAAAATAATAATGAAGGTTTGAACAAAATTCTAAACTATCAATTAAACCCTTGTTTAACCCGAAGTCCAAAACTAGAAATACATCCGTAATTTCTAAAGCTCAAAGTTCAAATCCTGGACACATTTGTTCAAACACAACATTCTAAGTTGACAGCACTTAAAACTTACTAATCAGTCTAAGAGGATTAAGAACCAGTGATAATTAAACCTTATGATAATCTAATGAAAAGGAACCAGGCAACCATGTGAAAGCACAGCTCCTGAGTATAGTCACTTTGCAGAACAACATAAAAAAAATTCTAAGGCTATGAAATGGAGGGCAACAACATACCGCCCAAAAACAACATGAAGCAGCAACCCAGCACGCAAACAAGGTGTCTAAAGTTCAGCTTCCTGTGAACGGGGCCACAAGGACTCAAAAGCTTAAAAGAAGGAGAGACTTGCTACCCCAACTTGATACGTGAAAAGAGGAGAGAACCCCACCTGGGAAACCTTAGTTTTAACAGAACACAATCGCAATACGAAGCAAAAAAGAGAAGAAAAATTCAGCCATGGGAAAGCAGAAAGGAGAACAAATTGCAGGTAAAAGTTGATAGATCCGGTCCACTAGACGATCAAGAGTGCATTTCTTCCATTCGCTCAACCTAGTTGTTGTAAAACTCTGATCCACCTCCTGGTTTCTCTCTAGTTGAGTCCGGGATCAGAGTCTGAATTCCATCGTGGATCCTTGAAAATTCGGACCACCGCACAATGGTATTACCATCTAAAAGATCTGCTGGATTACTGTAACTGTGTGAAGTAGCTCAGGAGATCGCTTCCTGTACAGACTGACGTGCACCAGATCTTGCTGATAAGCTCGCAGTTCCTTCTCTACCATGCCCATTACATGCCCAAACTATAATCTACCCCAAGTTCTTTCGCGGTGATTTTAGTCCTCACTTGAAGAGATTTTCTGCACATTACCGCACTCCTCCTTCAATATCGATTAGAGGTTTCACCTTTATAATCTTCCAGGTCTAGACAATGCAGAGTCTTCGATAAAGCGTTGTTTACCACATTTGGTTTAAGATCCACAGAGGATTGTTGAAGGTATAATTTATCGGTGTTACTCTTGTATTGAAATACCCCAAGTTCTCGTTCTGAAACTAGACTCTTCACTTCACACGGTCCTGCATTTCTTCCACAGAAATAGAAGTTCTGATCTTGACTCATACATTCTGCTTCGTTGGTGAATGAAGTTCTTTTAGCATAAGATCCAGCGCCTGGTGAAACACCAACCTGTGTTATAGGATCCGTTTTGAAGCAAATTCAGAGCCACAATTTGGAGGTTTGTTCCCAGTCAGGAGCTGCTGCCTCTCCACAGTTCTACCTAAGGTCACCAACGTCTAACAACATTTCAAACCCAGGCTTCATTTGTTGAAGAAGCAGGCGATTCCTGCAAAGCATGCAAATTCGTACTACATGTCTTTAGCCTCCATCTCCTCGTCCACTCTATCAATTTTTTCTCTGTATGTGATTGTTGGTCGTAATCAGCTTGTTTGTTTACAATCAGCAAACTCAAACCTTTTTGTGTTAGTGTATAGTCTATGTATTAATTTTTCTCAATAATTTTTGTTAAAAAACCAATTAAAAAAACTTTTGTGCTCTATGTAATAGTTGTCTATTCAGTGTTAATCCAGTATCCAACTTCAAACAATGATTCTAAGCCAAATTTGAACTTTGGCACCTTCTAATCTTCTAATTTCATCTTTGTGTTGATCAAAAGCAGGCGATTCCTGCAAAGCATGCAAATTCAATCAAAAATTAAGCACTCAATTATGTAAAGAAATTAAATTTGTAAGATATCAAAATTTATTTAGTCATAAAATAAAAAAATACTAAATTATTTGTCTTAAAAATGTTGAAACTTGTAAGTTTTTTTTTATTTTTATTTTTATTTTTTTTATTTTTTTTACTTCATTTATTTTAGAAATAATATAAAGTTTGAGAATTAGTTACTTATGAAATTATCATTTGTCTATTTACAATTACTTTGTGTATTCAGATATTTGTTTTAAGTTTAAAATAGTTTTTTGTTTTAAATTGTAACAAAAAGTCTTTGCCCAAATTATATTTGTCATTAAATATACATATTGTGAACACAATCTTTTCAACTCTACCTCACTCTAATCTAATAATTCCAAGACATATACCTTTTTTTTTTATTAAAGTACTTAGAATTGATACTAATTGTATTATGATTTGTTCAAGCTATTTATGCTTGTTCAAAATATTAATTGAGAGATGAGGTCGTACTAAATAATTGAGAATTTCAGTATATATATATATATATATATATATATATATATTTCTTTTATTTAAAAGAAAAGAAGTTCATCAATTGATGTATTAATTTTTAAAAGAAGTCCTATTAACTTGTATTGGAAAAACAAGTCCTATGGAAGAGTGTAACCAGAGGACATTTGCTCCAATTCGAAGGATTAGACAAATTGAAGACCTTTCAGTCTAAATAAAGTTGGGCTATTTCAAAAAAGAAGATTATTCATTGAACAATAGAAAGAGTAAATAAAAACGAAAGTACAATTCATATTTGCATTAAGAACAAAATCCAAGTCCTTTCAAATAGCACCATATTTACCTATTAACGAATTATTAAAAATTTATTAATTCAAAACGATTTCCAATGCAAATTTAAAATAAAGATGTAGCCAGAGCAAACTAAACAAATGCTTATAGAATGTGAGAGCTAATCGATATAGATTTTGTGTAACAACTCGAAAAAAAAGATTCCAGTTCCAAGGAGGAAACACCTTGATTACAGTACACAAAAATACATGGGATAAAATATTACTAATATTAATAAAATAAAACAGATAAGTAAAAGGAAGCGCATATACATATTACAACACAAGCATACATGCAATTCATTAAAGATCAAAACATAGTTAAATAAAACAGCACTTCATTACAACCATCGAGTGAAAGCGAATCCTGAAGATTTGAATTCCGAGGGTTCAACAACAAGGAGGTGTTATGAGATACCACTACCACCTCCAGCTCACTCTCCACCGATGCGTCGAACTAACTAAGCTTCATGACGCTTTTCATAAAGAGATTATCAGACATCGAGGCGAGCAAGTCCACCGAAACAAATGCAAGGCAAAAAGGATGGATGAAACCGATTAGGGCAAGTGATAGCAAGCGGAGGAAAACTCCACAATAAACCGACTACCACAAGTAAACAAGAAGATCGGCACGACCGTAGAACAAGAGGAATGCGTCAACGAGGGCGAAGCTAAGTGAACAATGTCAGAACTAACAACAGGAGTACCGCAGAAGAATGATATAACAGAAGAGCAGGAGGGCGAGGCCAGAGGACAACGTACAGTAAACTTCGGGGGCAATGACGCTCCGATGAACGACGCCGCGGACCTCACAGCACGCCTGGGGGGGGGGGGGGGGGTACGCAACAGGACACGAGACTAGGTAGCTTACAAACAACGCACTTCCACGGCCGGACCCCGAGGGCTTAGTGTCGACAATAGGGTTTCGGGATCCAAACCGCTCAGCAGAGCACCTATCCCCGCAAATTCTGTAGTAGCTTCTAGATCGACGGTGCCCAGGGCGCCCATCGAAGGGCTCACGTCTTACCCTGGCTGCCCGCCACTTCCCCGCCTGCTCCAGCCACACCAGCAAAGAGACTTGAAATCTCTCGATTCGTTTCTCCCTCTCTCGTAATCTTTCTGTGTTGCTTTCTGGGTTGTGCAGTAGGAGGTCTATTCCTCTGCCGATTGTTGTTTGGACGGAGCTTGTTTGCTGTGTTTCCGATCGCCGCTTGCTTCTGCATCATGGTATGTCGTCCCATTCTTCATGTTGCTGCGGTTCTGGGGTTTCTATTCTCGTTTGGGAAATAGTTTCCTTACCATGCTTGTTTGTTATGTCTGTGGTCGATTGTATTGTGGATTTGGATGCGTGGTAATGATCCCATGGTTTTCCTTTTTTGTATGCTTTTGGTTTGTCGATGCTGCTCCTTGATTTGTCCTAGTTTCCGAGCCCTTTGTGTAGTTACCGTGTGAGAGTGTAGACGTTTGTTAGTGGATCTGGTGGTGATTCAATTGGAGAAATTTGGCAGGGACGCCATCCGTTATTATTTTGTTTCCATTGGTGTGAGATTGCCACTATGGACCTCTGGATATTTTGTACTTGTGATTATTCGTTGGTTCTATGTTGGTTCGTCAGCCACTTGGAAATCGTCTTAAGACTTGGTGATGTCTTGTGTGTGCAGGCTTTGCCCGGCCAGCAAACCCCTGACAACTGCCCTCACTTCAAGCTTGTCATCGTCGGAGACGGAGGCACAGGTTGTTAATTATTTCTATATCAGTCTAAAATCATGGATTATATTTTCTGCATGTATTTTCAGAGCTCCTGCGTCTGGCTTTTCTGAGGAATAAGTTTGATTTTGCATGGCACTGGTTTAGTTAGTTAACGAAGTGAAATGGTTCGGCTATGCAGGAAAGACTACCTTCGTGAAGCGCCATCTTACTGGAGAATTTGAGAAGAAATATGAACGTAAGTGCGACGCGTGACTTTGGTATATTTCTTGCTGTGGTTCGCTATGTTCTATTCTGGTTTGAATCGATATGTGTGGGTGGTCTCATGTTCATTTGGTTCTGCCGTAACAAGTGAAATTTATTGTGCAGCCACCATCGGTGTGGAGGTTCACCCTCTTGACTTCTTCACTAACTGCGGAAGGATTCGGTTTTACTGCTGGGATACTGCCGGACAAGAGAAATTTGGAGGACTTCGTGATGGATACTAGTGAGCTGCATTCTTAGCTATTCACTTTGGATCTTACCGGCTCTTCGATCTAGCACTTAATTCTTGCGGCTGCGACTCCCTCCTCACAAGCGCGTTGTGGGTTTTGCAGCATTCACGGTCAGTGTGCTATCATCATGTTCGACGTGACAGCTCGGCTTACGTACAAGAATGTTCCGACATGGCATCGCGACCTCTGCAGGGTTTGTGAAAACATTCCGATTGTTCTGTGCGGAAACAAGGTGGACGTGAAGAACAGGCAGGTGAAGGCGAAGCAAGTGACTTTCCACAGGAAGAAAAACCTTCAGTACTACGAGATCTCTGCCAAATCGAACTACAACTTCGAGAAGCCGTACCTGTACCTAGCCAGAAAGCTTGCCGGGTAGGTTGATGTGTGCCTACTCCAGGGCTTTGCTGCTCTTCCGACACAGCGCTAAGGTGTCGTGTAGTTAATGTCAAACAGCGTTATTTCAATTCTTTGCATTTTTTGACAGTTGACATTGTTTTGCAGTGACCCGAACCTGCACTTTGTGGAGTCTCCTGCTCTAGCTCCTCCAGAAGTACAAATCGATATTGCGCAACAGGCTCAATATGAAGCCGAGCTTGTTCAAGCTCAGGCTCTGCCCCTTCCTGACGATGACGATGACGCTTTCGATAGCTAGATTTTTTGCGCTTCATAATTGTTGGTGTGGGAGTTTCGACTGTAATTAGTCGCTGGGCGTGATGAGGGTGGGAATCGGATATCTCTAATCCAGAGTAGCAGAGGTTTGTTCACGCCGCCACTGAGGAGAATGGTATGGGAGGCGAGACTATTGGTTATCGCGATGGATCCAAGATCTTTTAAGCTGCTTGTGTTCTGCAGCATTTTCCTTTAGCTTCTTTTCCTTAAAGAATATAAATGGCCTTCATCACCTTTCATTCCGTAGAGTATATGAAGTGGAAATTTTGTGGAAAGAGGGGAGGTTTGCAATTGAGTAATGTTGTAACCTTCCACGGCTGTTGTTGCTGATAGTTTTAGTGCTGACGTTTCCGAAGCGTGAAAACAAAATTAGGCACTGCCATCTTTCGGCTTTTAAAGTTCTCGGATTTTTCTCTTAACGTCTTCGTTGTAATCATGTTATTGTCCTTTCGTAGCATTTTGTTTACCCATACCAACAGGTGTATTGGGAGTTCCCTATTCTACACGTTAAGTAAATTCTAACTTTCAGTGCTGTTCCGTTAATTAATCGATACGCTGATCAAAGTAGTGGCTTCAGTTACCAATGGATCATCTCGGTGAGATTACCCCGTTTTTGTCATCAGGTTGTGTTAACTAGGGAAGAACTTTTATTTATAGCCCTCACATCGATGCGTAATCAAGATCAGTTACTACTATTCCAACAATGCGACATTAGTCAGAACGGAAAGTCGAGAGGTTCCTCACAATATCAACGTCTGCGAGTGGATGCCATATCCATGGACAATTTTTTCACGACTTCTATCATTCAGCAGTTACCTCTGAAATATACCAAGATCTGAGCTTGAATAGTCACTTACTTCAGCAGTAACCGAATGGCACTTGTACATTACATTGATTCACTGTTCTACTGAACAAGCAATACTCTGTATCGACCAAAGTCTGACTTTGAGCCCAAGCTTGATTGATATCAGGGGCCGAAAAGGTTTACAGCACAGCAAAGTAGAGAACTTGAACAAATGGTACTGTAAAACCACTAGCTGTTGTATCGTTGTGGTTCTTTCAACAACTGTTTGCCGCAGACAATTCTAGAAGCCTCAACATCGAGAGGTGTATGTAGTAATACACCTTTTTATGTCACATACAATTGTAGATGCAAGATCGCGTATCAAAATAATGAATATTGATGTCGACTCAAGTATTTAATACAATCCACATGTGTACACAACATGTGCAGACTCGTGCATACTAAATATAAACATGCCATACTACACTTTCTACATGATTTGTTAACAATAAAGTGTGTGAAGAACAGACTTTAACAGACCAAATCAATGAAAACATTTGTATTTGGGTGTGTGTATGTGTGTATATATATCTATGTGGTGTTATTGGTCCATACAACACGGGGTTTTTTGCAACAACAATGTGAACTGAGAATATTGCGATTCTGTGCAGCTCTAGATTTGTTCTAAACGCTACTCAATCCACTAAAACTACGCAACACTTCACTTATTAACTAAAGCACGTGCACTCCACATCAGATACGTATTCCATCACGAAAATGTATGTATAAGCAAAAAAAATCCTGTGTTGCGGTTCTGAAATGGTAGACATTTCTTGCTGGCGCCGAGTCAGACGGTCGTTTTGATAAAGCAAAACAGTAGTACTTTGTCTGGAGAACTCATGAGCGTCGCCGTGTTGAGGCAACGCAATTGAAGAGAGAGAGTGAGCGAGAGGCGGTAGAATGCAAAAGATACCGGGTCGTGTGGAGAAATACAGCACGGTGTGTGCGTAACAATTATGAGGATGAGGGCTCTTGCTCCTTACGGTTATTCACTCGGGAGAAAGGAATGAAGGTGGAGGTAGGTTTTCACCCGTTTCGCGGCATCCGTGAAGTAATGGGAGTACCACGAATTCGGACATTATCTTTTGCTCTCCTGCCTCGCAATGCCCTTCCCCACGCAGGAACAGACCGAGCGAGGGCGGAGTGCGAGTAAGCCCAAGAGCCCAGTCACTTGTCCATATTCATCGCTACCAACAACAACTCACCAACGCCATAACCATCAACCCATGGACGCCGTTCCACTGGGAGCCCCTGGTTGCTGTCTCGCTGCGGTGCGTGAGTTTTGTGGGTCCCCGTTCTGTTGTATCAGATGTAGGTGATTGCTTGCTTTCATGGCCTCAGCTCTTACCCCACACACATTTTTTCTTCTCGTGTGGAGAGGGCAGTTGGTTTCGCTCTGTAATCGCCCGTGTGGAGATTTCTGGATACGGGCCGGTACTGTACACAGCTCTAATGGAGCGTTTCGCAGAGAGGATTTATGTATGTGGAGTGATTGAGAGTGGTGATTGGGACGGGTATGAGGAGTTTGATTTCCAGTGGGTTGCGCTGTAGTCAGTGCATGGCTTATTTTAACGCTGGGGATACGTTGGTGCACCACTCATTTCGAGCCCACTGAGTATGCAGAGCAGAGTAGGGTTGAAGTGATGTACACTCCCGATGGTCGTTTTTGCTGAACTTGGTTGTGGCGAGAGGGAGCTCTTTGTGAATGGCGGGGTGGGTTAAATTTAATCCCTGAAGTGTATCTTGTAGTTGTATCTTTGGGTTACCCTCTTGCATATTCCCATGGTGTTCCCTGATCTTTCAGTAGGGTTGTAGTCTAGAAGCTTGAACGTTCCAGGCTAGGTGTCCTGGCATGAACTAATCATTGTCCGGTTGGATGCTTCCTCTTTAATCTTTTGCGGGTCTACCTATTCGTGAACTGTATGTATCAGAATTGCAATCTGCTCTACGGGGATTGTTTTTTTTGGTGTCTATGTGACATGCTTGTCACTACATGGTTTTCAGTGGTTAGGATACTCATAACCGATTAAGTTCTTACCAATCAAATCTTTCACGGGTATCTCCATACCTACTTTATTAGGGCACTTTATCAGCATACAGCCTTCAGTCATAGTTTTTTCTTTTGATTTGGTTAATTATGGCAGCCTTTATTTATCTGGACTCACCAGTGGCTTCTGTTTTCATTGTTTAATTCCATGTTCGGCCTACCGTAAACGAGGGCAGCTACGTCACCGTCACGTTGGTGGAGCTTAGTCTACGAACCTCATTTTATAGGTCTTTTGTACCCTTAGACTGCCAAACATCAAACAAGATCTTTGGCTCTCTCAATGACTGTATTGTTTGGATATAATATACCCAGAATTGTCACTCTGAACGTTGCTTTCGATTTTCAGTAGCATGTGAAGTATTACTTCAAAAATGGAGATGTTTTGTGATTGCCTCCGCCTTTATGAGCATGTACTTGATATTCCTTTAGATTTTTTTTTTGCGAAACTCTTCCTGAAAATGGGATACATGAGAATGGAATCCACAACATGCATCTTAAGCGTCTACGTTGTATGTTTACCTGCTCCTTATTTTGAATACTCAGAATGAGTCCTGTCTTTGCATATATTCTTATTTAGAGCTCTGCATGTTCAATCCTCAAGTTTTGGCGATTAACTCTTTAACCGTGTGGTCTGCCAAATACCGAAGATTATGGATTACATAATACCTGCTAATCATTGGTTATGCTGGTGTATCTTTTGGTTACTATCGTAACTGCAGGTGCATGTTTCTTCAAAATATTGTAGCAACTTCTGACCCCTGCATATAGGAGGGCAAACAGTAAACGTTTGTAAGCGAAGATAGCGCGCGTGAGAGAGATGTAAAGATATAGCGAATGGGGATAGTGCATTTCATGCTGACTATCGATTTGCTGTTTTATACCCATGTGCAGATCAATTACCAATGGTGTTTCAACTTGATCCCGGCAGAACAGAACGAAACCGAGGCAAATAGCTACCAGATCCTGTATTTTAAAACTAAGAAGTTTAAAAGATGCGGATGAAGCTAAAGGTATTTGGATTATCTGTACCAAGGCTATCGGTGTAGATTGAAGTGCTCTGTATCCGAGTAGCCGATCCAAATATGGCCGAGCTGCTGTTAAACCTTTGGATTGGTTCTTGATAATGGCATGCTCTTTTTTACGGCCATGCACCGACCTGCTGTTAAACCTTTGGATTGGTTCTTGATAATGGCATGCTCTTTTTTACGGCCATGCACCGACCTGTTTGCACTGAAAGGGTTTATTTTCTCGGGAAGGTCAATTCAGCAATTTTGAGGTGGCGGATGGTTCATGGCTTTCGAATCTACTGGAAGAAAAGTGTACTTGGCTGGTTTTTTGGAGCATCACAAGGTCGGTACTCCTTCGACTGACTAGGAGAGTTGCGTGAGCTCATCCAGCATATTAATCTTTGATCCACCTACGCCAGTTGGAGTTGTGGCTATTTGGGCGATCGTCTTGTGATGATCATTTTCCGTATAAAACCGATGTGTTGCTGGATAGAGAAGTCGTGAACTAGCTTCTCAATTGGTCCATTTCTCCCTCCGGTTTTTCTTTGTGTGCCGTTTCGAAATGTGGGTCCTTCATTTCCATAAAGAAGTTGTAATCCTGTACTACACACCTGTACTCAGGTTCTCTTAAACCTTTTCAAAGATGAGTAGAAAGTGACACGCAATTGCATTGATATCCTTTGCTTGACCACAGCATGTAGTATTCGTTAGAGATTTTGGATTTCTGATTTAAGCTGAGCCTCTCAGCCAACAATCTTTGCGGCTTTAAAGATGCCCTGGTGGCCTATATCTAGCAAGGATAGTAAGAAAGGGAAGAAACCGACCACCAGTGGATTATTTGATGGAGGTTCGGGTCATTCGCGGAGTCCTAAACCACGTGCGAAGGAAGATAATGGCAGTAGTAAGTGCAACTCCCCCTACAGTTTAGATCTGGCTTCGGAGGCAGGGTCTGGATCTGGAGTAGGCTCGCGGTCGCCATCTCCCTCATCGCCTATACACAACAGCAAAAGAAGGCATTCTCAGGGGCAGCCTCTTCCGTTACCATGTGCACCTCCCACGAAATCCGTGGGACGGGCTTATTCAGAAGTTCAGTTGCCCAATGTTCAGAACCAGTGGGGTTCTTTGTTGCATCATGCAGCATCCATGCCTCTGCCCTCACCAGCTCAGGTCGGACTCATGGATAACGGGGATTATCCATCAGGTTCGGTCTCCAGTGCCAGCTCGCTAGGAAGTGTTGAAGTAGATCCCCGTCAACAAGGGCGAGCCTCACATCTCCGACCGTTGCAGGAGCCTGAACCCCCCGAACAGCTGCGGCCAGTACCTCAGTAAGTGCAGCCTGGTCCTCAGCTTTTTATGCATCAGCAAGAGTATCCATTGAGTGCTCACCATAGATTTTGATGAGGCACTTATTGTTGCATTCATGTTATGTCTTATGCATCCTGTTTTTTTATTTCCAGAATGAGCCATGTCTCCGCCGCATCACGAGGAGGAGTGCTTAGGCACGAGCCAGTACGGTCTGAGAATTCTCGTTCTACAAGTCTTTTTCCTGGCAGTTACCCACCTGTCACTTCTCCCACTTCACGCGTTTGGCCTCCAAAGTGGCCCTCACCTCTGAAGATTTCTCAATCTCAACCTGACAGTTCAAAATCGAGCCCTGTTCGTAGTCCCCGCTATGTTTCGCAACACCAACGGAATGGTATGGAGCCTACAGTATCAGGATCTGTTACCGGTAGTCCTCACTCAGGCAACACTTCCGCCTACAATTCTTGGCAAGGGGATCTAGCGCCCTTAATGGCACCGCAGCACCATGAAGACAGGTCTCTAAGTCCTAGTCCAAGATTACGAAGTCCCGGACCTAGTCGAACTACAAGTGCTGCCGTTTCTCCTTTACATCCACGAGCTGTAAATCGCACTAGTGGGGGACCTGACTCGCCCACGACTTGGTACGATTACGCACCAAAGCCGTTGCCGTTACCTCCTTTGCCCACAGGCAATAGTAGCCCTTACACCTCTCCGAGCACACCGACTATGTCTCGTCATTTATCTAGTACGTTGGAGCGTTCCAGGTCTGGAGAATCACCTGTATCTGGTACTTCAACAAAATGGCAGAAAGGAAAACTTCTAGGGTCTGGAACATTTGGAAATGTGTACGTGGGTTTCAACAAGTAAGCTCTTCTCCTCCGACGAATATTCATTTCAACAGTTTAGCCTTAGTGTCTTCTTTTCCTTTTTGTTTTGGTCTCAATTCTGTTTGGTAATTATTTTGTGAGTGGAAGTCACAGCTTTTGTCAAAGGAAGACCGAGACTAACTTTTAAAACTTAATAATAGTTCCTTTTTGTGTATTTTTCAGTGATAATGGTGGTTTTTGTGCCATGAAAGAGGTTCTTTTGGTTTCGGATGATCATAAGTCAAAGGAAAGTGTCAAGCAGCTAGGACAGGTGTGTCCAAACATTTTCCTCATGATCGACAAGCTCTTGTGCGTAACTGGTTATAGTTTAGATTCTAAATACAGGTGTTAATCCCATGGGGCGTTGACTTAGTAATTTACAACGGTAGTGTGTAGCGACTTCAACAATTCTGCTCTGTTGGTATGCAACTAGTGAAATTCTTTTCCTTTTACTTTAAACAGTAACTATTAGCCTTGCGTATTGGAGATTTCACGAAAATAATGGCCTTTTATTAATCAAGATTGCTGTTGTGTATTGCGCGTGTTCATGCCACTTTCACATTCTCGATGTTATCGTAAAAAGAGGAACCTTTTCATGGCATAGTCCTAATGGGCTGATGCTGTGGTTTGTGAATTAGGAAATAAGTTTGTTGAGCAAGTTGCGGCATGAGAACATTGTACAGTACATTGGCACGGAAACGGTGCGACGCAAACCTTATGCACCTTTTAATATTTAACATGACGTCTGTCACATGTTAACTCCATTATTCTTGTTGCTTTGGGGTCGACATGTCGGGATCTGACTGCGTCGTTGGGATCTTCTGGCAGTTGGAAGATAGGTTGTATATATATTTGGAGTATGTTTCTGGAGGATCAATCCATAAACTGCTCCAAGAGTATGGCGCTTTCAAAGAGCCAGTGGTGCGCAATTACACTCGCCAGATTCTCTCTGGACTAGCATATCTGCATAATCAAAATACTGTGCATAGGTATTTTTCCATAACTATCCTGTGAAAGTCTTAAATCTGGATGATTTCTATTTTTGTACTCATTGGGTTAGTTAAAATCTTTTGTTGTACGTACAAACTTCAGTGCTCTAATTTAACTTTCAAAGCTGCTTCGCATTGTAATTTCAGGGATATCAAGGGAGCCAACATTCTTGTAGACACCAATGGAATGGTGAAACTTGCCGACTTCGGCATGGCTAAGCACGTATGTATCATCAGTTTTTTTAGGATGTATGAGTGTCAAGTGTTTTTGTATTGTATCTTTACTAATTTTGAAGGATGTTTGAAATCTAATTTTGCCCATAGTTCTTTTTCTCTCAGTTTCCCCGAATGAGTTCTGTTGGGTGCTTTTCAAATTTTCTTGAGATGATGCTGCTGTGTTCTGAGAAATTGTTTTCTTTTTTTCTTTTTTTCTTTTTCTCATGCGGTTCTGGTTACTATTATGCAGATCTCCGCTCAGTCTTTTCTCCAGTCTTTCAAGGGGAGTCCTTACTGGATGGCTCCTGAGGTACGTGTCAATTGTATTATTACTAGTACTGACTGTTAAATATTACTAGCACAGCCTTGTGGGTCATATGTATTCACCTGGTACGTCGTACATGTACTTTTGGAGGCATTAGAATCTTTCCTTCTTATTGACGCCTTAACATGGTTCTTAACTAGCAGGTGATAAAGAACACAGGAGGGTATGATTTAGCTGTGGATATATGGAGTCTCGGTTGTACCGTGCTTGAGATGTTGACCACCAAACCTCCATGGAATCAATACGAAGGAGTAAGTGGCACGCACTTGACCTTTTGTACTTTTGCAATCCCCAAAAAATATCTGGTACTCACCATCAATTCTTGAATTACGCCCTGAGATAGTGCTGCACCTCGTCGGTATTGAAATATATTGTGTGAATAATTACTCTGACAGTATTAAGTATCAAACGTTCAAAATGTGCGATAGGTTGCAGCAATGTTCAAAATTGGAAATAGCAAAGAATTGCCCGTCATCCCAAACACATTGTCCAGAACGGGGAGAGAGTTTGTGCGTTTATGCTTGCAACGCGACCCTGCACAACGGCCAACTGCTGCTCAGTTGCTAGAGCACCCATTTGTTCAAGATGTTCCACGCATCTGCAGACCAGATGATACCGTTGCTGGAACCGATTTGCTGCCTAACACCATTCCTGCCATCAGACCTGTGGTTAGTACCTTATGTAACCCTTTCCAAGTTTCTTTTCACTCTGGGATTTCCCACATTCTTCTTGGTTTTGATTGAGGTTTTTAGCGCTTTTTTCTTAATTTTATTGCTTGTGATGGTTAATGGTCTTGTGAAGTCAGACGTGGTGCTTGAACTTCACCAATTCAAATGATCAAGCCGCAAGCATTTCGTCATTCCGCTGTGTGTGTGTGTGTGTGTGTTTTTTTTTTTTTTTTTTTTTTTTTTTTTTTTTTTTTGGGTTAATTTGAGTTGTACCGGTCTTTAATCTGATTCCATCTTTTGTGCTTATTTGATGGATTGTTTGTAGAATGTGACATCGCATAAGGGACAGAGACCTGTTACTTTGCACGAGAATGATGGCACATGTCCGCATACCAGGGGAAGGCTGCCGCATTCACCAACGAGGTCCCATTCACTTTATAATCATCAGCTATTGTTTTTTTAGGATCTGCAATTCTACCAGATTTTGAATGTAGTACTTTTGATAGTCTTCATCAATAGTGTATGGTACATATCTGTATTAGCTTCGTGAGGTTGATTTGACAACCTTTGATTTAGCCATCTACGTGTTTTTGTTTTCCTTTTGTGCAGTGAACTTTCACCACGAACCCCATCTGCACTTCCTTCCCTCAATACCAAGTCTCCACGAAGAGTCCACCAGGTTTTTAGTGGGATGTCTACCCCAGGGATAATGAGCTCAGGATCATCCACTCCGCCAGGTGGAGGTTATGGCTGCTCACCCTTACTTCCACACCAGTTGTGCGGCGCCCTCTCTGTCTATCCTAATGAGGGATATGTGAATAGCTCAAGGACACAAAGTGGACGGTATGCAAGCCCTTCCGTAATAAATGGAGGGGTCTACCCTGAACCTCGAAAAGATTCCCATTGGAATACACCTTCCCAACGTACTCCTGATGGTAGCCCAAGGAGAAAAAATCATTTTAATAGGGATAATAACATATTAGATTTTACAGCAGGAAGAGTGGCCCTGGAAGATGATCATCAAATGCAATATCATGGCAATGGAACTTCTCGTGAGCATTTGACTCAACATCTTCACCACAGGCCAGGGTCTAGTCATCAGAGTGCCCCTATACTTAGTCGCACTCTCAGTCATGAATTTGCTCGTCAATGGCAACCCTGAGTGATCGTGCGACTTGGGGACTCAGACGTCTCCACGCAGGCGGTGTAATGGTATAGAAACATCATTTGTCGAACGTATGGTATATTTGTGGATGGCAGAAGTTTGACATCATGTAATTATGAGGGCTAAAGCAGATCCTCATTGCTAAGTGCTGCTGGTTGCATGTCCTCATTTTTTGCAATTTTTGAATCGTTTTGGATAATGGGGTCTTTTCAACTTTAGAACCAAGAGTGGCATTGTTTGAACAGTCATTATAGTTTTCAGGACATCAGTCCAATTGAGAGGTAGGCACCATCTCAATGGAACAATTGGCTCTTGTTTCTGAACAGGAGTTTCTATAGATTTTATAGGATTAGTGCGTTGGGGATGAGTTGGCTATTCGATAAATGTAGCTGATGAAATAGTTAGCTGCCTACGGTGATCAGTGCGATCACCTTGCTGATTATCCTATGATTTTTATTCTTCAGCAATTGCATTTGTATTTGAACCAAATTAATGTAAAGATGTTAGAGAAGTTCTTGAAGTCTGCTTTCAGCTGCTCTTCAGAGTTTCAGTAAACATATGAAGATGAATTACAAGTTCAATGTGGTGAATTAAGATTAACATTTTGCACTGAGCTTTGTAACAAATGTTATCAGGAATATATCGTATATGTCGTCCTGTGATCCTAATCCTGAATATCTAAAGAGATTAGAAGTATTTACAGGTGCTCTTAAAAATATGTCATGTTTGTCCTTGAAGTTCAAATTTTTCTGTGATCCTGATTATGTATAGAGGTTAGAAGTATTTGCAAATTTGTCACTAAATGAAAAGCTTGAATCATAATAAAGTGTAGATTTTTTTTATACATAAGCAGCATTTTGTTTTAGAAAATGAACCCGTATCAAAGTATTTTAATGAGTGGATTGACATTTATTTTTGGATATTAACCTTTTAGGTATCTTACTTGTTGTGTCAATCATAGAATTGGTTTAAGGGTCTTAAAATTTGTCAAAATATAATTGTTAACTCACTTTAAATTTTATAATCTTATTAGTTAGGCTTCTTTTTTTATGCTTAATTTTCTCATAAAAATGTAAGTAAAGAGATCCAACTATTATATCTATAAAGAATGTGTTCTTCTACATGACCTACAAGGTGTAGTGGATATTAATAAAATTATAGATCCAATTACATTTTGCTATCTTATTTAATAAGGATTATAATTCTAAAAGCTTAGAACAATTATAACTTTCTATGCTTTATTTGATTTTTGTTTAGTAGTTGCCTCCCTTTTAATGTTCTTCAAATTTAAAAGTCTTCCCAGTTTTATTTTGTATAATATTCTTTCAAACTTGGTTCTTTTTAATTTCTGATAATAATTCCACCTTAGTTTTAAGCATTTCATGATTTCAAAATTGATCCTAATATTGCACAAAGTTTTAGAAGGTTTAAAGTTTAGGCATGTCTTATAACTAAAAAATTGAAAAATTAAAATTAGAGTTCAGTATTTTTTTACAAAATTTTCTAAATTATCAAAATCCAAAATTTATATATATATATATATATATATATATATATATATATATATAATATTTTATATAATATAATAGCAATAATTAGAAACATTTTATTTTTTTAAAGAAATGTATAAAATCTTTCAAAATCTAGTTAATAGAAATATTATGTATATTGAAAGGACTTGCTAAGTATCTTCTAACTTCTATTCAACTTAAAAAAAAATTAAATTCACTACAAATTGCATTTGCACTAGATATTTATGTTTTTTTCATTTCAAATATTGATTTTATTCCTAATATCTAAAAAACACAATTCTTGCATCTCTTCATTAATGTCTTTTTGAAATTGTAAAAAACTTTAATTCTTCAACTTTATTGCACATAAGATATATATATTAAGTTCACTAAGTCAATCCTTTAATTTTATATGGGTCATAAAACTCACCTTTTTTGTATTTTTTGGAATGTATATGATCTTGTCTAAATTTTTAAAATCCAATAAACTTGAATAATAAACTTTTTTCAAATTAAATAGATTTTTCTTGTATACAATCCTATCATCTATTTTTTTGCTAGTAATGTTTACTAAATTTACAGATTTTAGACTTAGCAATTGAAACATTCTACTTTATCTGAAGAAAAAAGAAAAAGAAAAAAGAAAATTGTTGTATTTTAGATATAATACTGTGAATTACTTTTGATAATGCCAAGACAAAAATAATAAACTGTTAATGTTTTTAGTCAATATACAACTATGTTTTTTTATTTGTATAATAATAGAATCTATTTAAAAAAATCTATGTTGATAATTTTTACTAGAATTTATCTTTAAAATAATAAAAATTAAAAATTAAATATATCCAATTGTCAAATCTTTCTAAACCTCTCACTTTAACTCTTTAATTGGCATAATGAGGTATTGACTTTATAAAGTCTAATAAATCTTTGGTCAACCTACAAAAAAATTAATGAAGATACATACACATTGGATTGTTGAATTTCAGATAAAAACTATCAATGAATTCTTAACAATAGGATTACATTGATTTTAAGCCAAATGCTTGAAAATTGTGAGATGAAAATAATTAGAAATAAACATTGTATGCTTTACATTGATATGCTGACATCATGATCCATATTATAAATTTGATAGAAAGAGTAATAAATAAATAAAGAATGAATGAATAAAAAATAAATTTTATTATGATAAAATTAGAAAAAAATGAAAAGTCATTTATTTACATATTCAGTGTACAACTTCTTTTTATTGTGTGCACACACCTCTCTCTTTCTTTGTGCTACATTAAGAATACACCATTGGTACAAGTCTTTAATAAGTTGGATATGAATGAAACTAAAAATTATGAAAAAAACCAAAAAAAAATAACATCAACCTACAAGATAGAAATATTAGCAATACAAAAGCCAAACAAAATAAATAAATTAATGAAAGTGCCCAAATATAGATATTGTTTGTTTTATTTGCTTTCAATAGCTTATGTTTTGCTAATGTTCTTGTGTTGAAGATTATTATTTTTTTATTTTATAATAATTTTTAAATAATTTTTAATCTTATTATTAATTAGATTATTAAAACATTTATATCAGTGGTGTATTATTGGTGTGGTACAAGAGATACCCACATTCTAAATAAGAGATGTCGATCCAATTTATAAAGAAAAAGTATCCATTTAATTGTTTTCTTATATAAATACTAGTGAAAAGATCTTATATTATAAATGGATACATAATCTAATAAAAAACTAATAATATATATATATATATATATATATATATATTCATACTTCAATAATTATCTTCATGAATTATTTTGATGTAATATAAATTTTTCTTTTGGTTTGTTGTAATAAAATAATCAAGTATATGGTGATTTTCATCCAAATTCCATAACTTTTGTGATACCTTATTTTCTTTATGACCAATTCATTCTTTAATTAAAATCTTTTTTATTTAAATATGCCAAAAAAAAAAAAAAAAAAAAAAAAAAACTACCTTGATTTCTTACATTTTGATATTAGAACAAATTGGCTATAAGTTGGCTATATTAATTTATTAAATTAATGACATTAGTTTCTCACATTACATGTTGTGCATGCTCAAATGGTACTAGATTATAGTCCACTATTAGCCAATTATCTCAATCAACTCTAACTTAATAAATTTGTTGGACTTGGTATGACCTAAAATAAACCCCCACTGGTTGGAAGCCTATTCTAGTCCATAACAATTTAATTATCTAATCAATCTATTGCTTCTTAATTAACATTTGATTTATGTCCAATAATTCCAATAACTCTCCAATTGTGACCTAAATAAATCCCTCTACTAGGTAATTTTTCTTGAATGAAAATTCATCTATTTTTAATTAACATTCATCCACAAGATTTCATTCATCCAATCTGAATTTTTGGAAGCACATAAATCTCTGCTGCCTCTGCCTCTGCCTCCAACCATCGATGCAGTAGAAGCCGTCGCAAGTGACCAGGTTGAAGGGAGCTTGACTGCTTCTCCTCTTGCTTGTGCGAAAATTGTTCCTTGGTTGCAACCGAACTTAACTCCAAGCCCAAGTTCGTGTTGAACCAACTTGTTGAGGGATGCAGCTTGCTCGCTTACCACCTTGGACTCCAACGCCTCTTCACGTTGCTTAATCGTCAAAGATCCTTTCTTTTGTTTTATTTTTATTAATACGAAGCCTTCTATTGAGAAGGTCTTAGTGGAATATATTGTGACCAGACTGGTATGGATTCACACCGCACGAGCATGAGGGCGATCACAATTCCAGATCAGGCAACAACCAATTTGAATTAGACCATACTGCTGTTCTAATAGCTGGTATATGCAAAAGACTAATCCGGAGTCCGAAGTGTCAAGGGTGTGACTTTAACGTCTTTCTTGGTTGATTGCTAAGAGACTCAAGTATGAGAGGCAATTATGTAGCCCCATACGAATGGCACCTTCATATCAAATATGCAATATCATTGATCTAGATTCATGTCACTCAAACGGCTAAATTTCCACGTGAATATTAAGACCTTATATTGATGTCAATTTGCCGTCGTAGATGTTATGGATCATCAATGCAGCTCTGGAGTGAGGTCCTTGTCCTTCAACCGATGCAGCATTCTCACAGCAGCAGTTGGACAGATCTTTATTAATGCTTGACCATACCACTCGTGCTTCACAGTACTACAAAGGGAAATACAATTGTTCTTCCTCCGCAGCCTGACTGAGCACAAATGAAGAATAGTGAATAACCTCGACTAGGTCCAATGTTGGACCGAGCACCGATCCGAAGAAAAGACGGTGTCAATTAATTCGCAAGGGCAAACTTTGGAACAAGGCCGCACAACTCCAATGACAAGTTCTGCAAGTCCAGAACAAGAGGAAATACAAATCTTCTAATTTCAAGAGGACCTTCATCGCAACCAACTCAAGATGGTCGTCTACTCTTTGCCTCTTCACCGCAATCACAAGGAGCAACTCGCCTGCTGCCTCAATGAAAGACCAATGCCGACAGCCATCGACTGACGATACATGGAGAACTCAAAATGTCCATACAGAAAAATAAAAATAAAAAAACTTGAGGGAAGAAGCCACAAATACAAAGCAGCGACTTTTGCCACAAAACAAGAACACGAGTCTGTATCCAGCTGCTGAAGTTGCAGCTGGATTGGACCATTTCAAGCTGAATACAGACTAATTTAACAAGTGATTGAAGCTGAATCCAGCTGCTGAAGTTGCAGCTGGATTGGACCATTTCAAGTGTGTAACTTGTTTTGAAATGGTCCAATCCAGCTGCACTTGTTAAAAGTCGTTGCTCCAGCCTCCGCAACATGCTTGGACAAACGAATGGCAGAAAATCAAAGATGCAAAGACCAGTCCTTGGAGCAATCGAAGCCTGGACTCATAACACAAATAAATAAAACAAAGAAGAGGAGAAGACTTTGAAGTGCCTGGAGCAAAGTCGAACCCAAATCGGACCCTTATCGGCAGTCCAGAGGCCCGCAATGGCCGGTCCG